CCAGGAGCGAAACCTCTGTTTGTAATTAGCCTTTCTTCTGCCAAATCCATTGGCAGTGGAGAATCCTTGTGGATAGTTCATAATGTGCATTTCTGCCTCCCAATAGCTGTTCTTTTGGAAGAGAGCATGATGAGGTCAGAAGTGCTCAGACATCTTACACTTCCCCAAAGGAAAAAAAAACAATCTAATCAATGCAGAGATCTAGAACTCTCACAGCCTACAAGTTTGTGGGAGAAATGGGAGGAGGGGGGAGAAGCTAAGCACTCAATTGGGTTTGCATATTTGCTGTTTACCTTTATGCGTCTTTGTCACTATGCTGGGATTGCACACTTTGATACATCTTAGAGCGAATTAACATTGGAAGTTCAGTTAACACTAACTTAGGAACACACCATGTTGGACTCAAAAGGACTTACAATCAAATAGTACTTTTCAAAGCAATAACCATGTTAGTTTGTAACTTCCGTATATACTTGAGTATAAGCCGACCCAATTATAAGCCAAGGCACCTAATTTTACCACAACAAACTGGGAAAATGAAACTTGAGTATAAGCCGAGGGCAGGAAATGCAACAGCTACTGGTAAATTTCAAAATAAAAAATAGATACCAATAAAATTACATTAATTGAAGCATCAGTAGGTTAAATGTTTTTGAATATTTGTATAAAACTGTAATGTAAGATAAGACTGCCCAACTCTGATTAAACCATTATTCTAACCTTCCATGTACATGTGCTTACATATCCTTCCAATAATAATAAAAAGAGTGAAATAATAATAATGTTTTTTGTCGGAGCGTCAGGAGCGACTTGAGAAACTGCAAGTAGCTTCTGGTGTGAGAGAATTGGCCATCTGCAAGGATGTTGCCCAGGGGACATCTGGATGTTTTGATGTTTTACCATCCTTGTGGGAGGCTTCTCTCATGTCCCCACATGAGGAGCTGGAGCTGATAAAAGGAGCTTATCCACGCTCTCCCCGGATTCGAACCTGCGTCCTGTCGGTCTTTAGTTCTGCTGGCAGAGGGGTTTAAACCACTGCACCATCGGGGGCTCCATAATAATAATAATAATAATAATAATAATAATAATAAAGTAAAATAATGGGAATGTAATAATAACCACAATAATAAACTAAAATTCTAATTCTAATAATAATAATAATAATAATAATAATAATAATAATAATAAAGTAAAATGATAAATACAGGGTGAAGCAGCATAACTTCTTTTTTTTAAAAATGTCAGCACTAGTGGTCTCATTCGAGAGCGGGAGTATAAAGTTTTTCCTGACACAGTTCAGTTGCCCTCATGCGTTGGAACAGTGAGGAGTGTGCTTTTGCCGTTAAGACCTACTTTTGGAGTGGCCAGCCCGCTCTCCAGATTTGGCCCCTTGTGATTTTTTTCTATGGGGTTTTTTGAAATCCTGTGTTTATGTGAACCGTCCAAGGACCCTACAAGATTTGAAGGCCAATATAGCACCTGCTATGCTGACAAGAGTCATGACAAACGCCAGAAATCAGTTTACTCAGTGTATGGAGAATGGGGGATGTCACCTACCTAATTTGATCTTCAATACTATGTAAAACAAAACTTTAGTTATGCGCCTACATTATAAAAAAATTAAAATGTCTGATTCATACAATGGGTTTTATTAAGTTTTTAAAAAAGGAAGTTATGCTGCCTCACCAACAACACAACAACAACAACATCAACAACAGTAAAATAATAAATAATCTTAACTCAAGTATAAACTGAGGGAGACTTTTTCAGCCTAAAAATGTCTTGAAAAATTAGGCTTATACTCGAGTATGAAAGACAGTATCTCTTGTAAGACTGGTTTATTTCAGCATGAACGGAACTGCAATGTTGGAGTACAACACAGGTTGAGTGTCCCTTAGCCAGAATTCTGAAATATAGGGTAGCAATGTCTCCCCCATCCCGATGCTTCATTGTACTATCTACAAACACAAGTATTTCATGTTCAAAATTGATTAAACGGTTGTGTGCAAAATTATCTTCAGTCTATGTGTATAAGATGTATACAAAAGATCAATGAAATTTCTGTTTAGAGTTGGACCCCATCTCCAAAATGTCTAATTAGAAACATATATGTAAATATAGGAATTTAAAAAATCCAAAACACTTTAGATGCCAAATGTTTTGGTGAAGGGATACTTAACCTAGATTAAAGCACAGTTATATATATTTATGGTAATTGGATCAGAATGTAATAAATTGGAGAATGATGTAGGTTGTAAAACTTCCCATAGAAAGATCTAAAGGGCTGCGGTGATGCAACTGGTTAAACTGTTGAGCTGCTGAGTTTACTGATATGAAGGTTGGCAGTTCAAATCCATGAGACAGGGTGAGTTCCCATTGTCAGCCTCAGCTCCTGCCAACCTAGCAGTTTGAAAACATGCAAATGTGAGTAGATCAATAGGTACGACCTCAGAGGTAAGCTAAAAGGGCACCCTACAAAGTCATGCCAGCTATGTGACCAGGAGGTGTCTATAGACAACGCAGGCTCCTTGTCTTGGAAATGAAAATGAGCACCTCCCCAAGAGCCAGAGATGAGCACTGTCTCCAGAGCCAGTGATGAAAGGGGAAGCCTTTGCTTTTGTCTGTGTATTGTCTGTGTATTTGTGTTTCATTGTGTATTTCAAAGGCATTGATTGTTTGCCTGTGTCTGTATTTATGATGGAATCTGTTCTGAGTCCCCTCGGGGAGATAGGGAAGAATACAAATACTGGCTACCAGTATTAAAAAACTCTAAAATTACAACAGCAAAACAACAGAGAGGAAACAATCTGGGACATCTAATCACCTCTCAACAAAAGATTGCCCCAGGCACTGCCAGGCCATCAAATGCTAATCAAGGTGGTCAGTTGAAACATTCACACCTAGCTCCAGCAGACAAGAGTCCTTTGTCCCACCCTGGTCATTCCACAGATATATAAACCCTTTTTTCCTAGTTCCAACAGACCTCACAACCTCTGAGGATGCTTGCCATAGATGCAGGTGAAACGTCAGGAGAGAATGCCTCTAGAACATGGCCATATAGCCTGAAAAAACCTACAACAACCCAGTGATTCTGGGCCTTCGACAATACATACAAATAAAGTGTTGTTCACATTGTCATTGTTGTTGCTATTGTTGTTGTTGCTTTGTTGGTATTTAAAGGTGAAACCAGGAAATTCGCTTATCAAAAGCCAGCTTTCCTGATACTCAAATCTTCTTTTTTGTTTCACATGTAATAGTGAGGACTTGTTTGTTGTCGTGTGATCAGTTCAGTAAAAGAGCATTACAAACAATTTTTTGTCATAGAATTTCTGACAGCAAATCCTTAACATAGTTTTTTTTACAAGGAAAGCAATGTTAAGAAATTTACAGAGCTAAAGATTTCCAACTAGCCAGCTGGAGTGATTTCTGAGAGTCTTTGATGATGGGTGCCTGGAGCCCTACTGCTGTGATTCCTCCAAAGCATATCATTACTATTTTCAAATGAGAAGCCTGAGGTTTAGGGAGAATAAAAGTTTTTATTTTCCTGGACTGTGAGTATCTCTAATTTTAGGTTAACTGGTCTGTTAAATAAAGACAGGTCCTTGCAGGAAAACAGACAGTAATTTAGTGGAATTAAGTTCTAGAATAGGACACAACGAGCACTGCCTTTGATCCCAGTACCTTCTTTTAGTTCAGCACTTCAATTCCCAATATGTATTGTAAAGCACAATTTTCATATGTATGTTTCTTCATTTTGTGAATTTCTGCAGTGATGCAGAAGTAGGCATTAATATCTGTTTCATATCTTGCTCAATATGTTTAGACAGTTCTCAAATATGTGCTCTTTTCCTAATTTGCCTATAGGGAGATAAAAACTGCAAGGAAATTACATTTTATATCATTAACTTGTATTATTGCTTAATTCTAACCTTTGCCAGAAGGGAGAGGATGCAACAGAGAACAATCTGCTGGCCTTCCATCTGCCACTAATAATAGGGTGAATGAATGCAGCGAAGACATTATAGTCTAGTTCCTCTGTTTTACTGTTTTTGTTTCCCTAATGTTTTTCACTTACAATGAAAACATGTGTATGCTTATTTGGAATGAAGTTTTCTCTTAAGTGGGACTTACTTTGTAGTCATTGTATTTAGGATTGTAGCCTTAGGGGTATCCAGTAATATTAGTGGAACTATTTGTCTAACAGGCTTCTCTGGTATCAGAGGTATGTTTTTGATCCACAATACATTGTTAAAATCTGACAATATATATAACATTTTCTGGAAACCGCAAAATTCCCAATTGTGTCAAATTCTTCACATGGGAGTATGGAATGAATGAGAGATGGTGCTAACACACTTCAGTCTGCACGTAACTTCAAGATGCTTGGTAAATGAATGAGTCAGATTATGTCTAAACATGTATTTGCAAGCATTGTGTACCTTGAAGGAATTTCCAGTGTATGACCACCCTAAGATTTGTTCGGGGTGAGGGGGTTGCCATTGCTTCTGGAGCTGAGTGAATGTGACTTGTTCATGACCACCTAGTGAGTTTCCATGGGTCAGCAGGTATTCAAACCATTGTCTTCAGAGTCATAGTCCAGCCCTCAAACAATTAATACCACACTGGGTAGATCTATCCTTCTTGGGAGTGTTGGAGGCTGGAGGTGGATGGATACCATGACATGAGGATGATTTTCAAAACATGGTTGAAAAATATGATTCTCCAGTGTTGAGAAATCCTGACGAAAAATACCATGGAGTGATAAGAATCTTTGTAGATCAGGGATTATTCTTTGCAAAAGTGCATTGTTATTTTCCACAGGAAACAACATTATCCATGCACAAAATAATATTTCTGTCATGTAAATGCTGTTTTTTTGCACAGAAAATTATTTTTCTGCACAAAGCAGCAATATGCAAGTTCTATGTGGGACACATCCTAATTTTTAGTTTTGCAGCAAGATGATCTTTTGACATTTTCTTATCTTTCTTGCTCCACAGGCAGGTGATAAACATTACCATCCAAGCTGTGCACGATGCAGCAGGTGCAACCAAATGTTCACAGAAGGAGAAGAAATGTACCTGCAAGGTAAAGAGATTGCATGGTTGTAACTACTTTAAGTACTTATCTACTGTTTTTACTGTTTGTGAACCGCCGTGAGTCGCCTTCGGGCTTGAGATACAGCGGTATATAAGCAAAGTAAATAAATAAAATAAATAAATACTTGAAATGACAGAATTGACCCATTTCAATAAATAAAGTAAAGAAGATGGGCCCTGGAAAGAATACGCTTTTGTGCTTTTTTTAAAAAAAAATACAAATTTATTTTACATGTATTGATTCAAATTTAATTACTTATCTGCATGAATCAGACACTCTCCCCTGTATAGGTCAGTCTCAACTATAACATGTTGTAGGTCATGTGGCCAGCATGACTGCATGGAGCGTTGTTTCCTTCTCGCAGAATCTACTCACATTTTGCATGTTTTCAAACTGGTAAGTTGGCAGAAGCTGGGCCTAACAATGGGAGCTTGCCTTGCTCCCTGGATTTGAACCGTTGGCCTTTTGAACCACTGATCTTTTGGTCAGCAAGTTCAACAGCTCAGCAGTTTAACCTGCTGTGCCATCGTGGGGCCTTGTGCTTGGAGTGAGTGTTTAATCTGATATTTCTTTCCTCCTATCCTCTTTTTCTAAATTCTGACCAAAAGGTTACTGTGCTTCAGTCTCAGCTAGTAACCCAAAGTTTAATAATAAGAGGCCCTAGGTGTGCGCCTAGGATAGAAGGGAGAAATTGACGTCATCCAAAACATATGTTTCATAGCTATTATTATACATTACCATTAAATGTATAACATTGAAAAATGAATGCCTAGAGGGAGAATATAGATTCATACCAAAGCGAAAAACAGGTCTCCCAACAATTTTGTCAGAGAAATGCACATTCTTTCTGCCCAACACTCCTGTGACCATGGTTTATTTCAATGGCTTACCAACACCAGAGCAGGAAATAAGATTTCTTTGGCTATTTTGACTTATTTTGAACTTGAAAGAAATGATGCTGAACAGAGTTAAATAATAAATGATAAATAATTACCCAGATAGGAAATATCTGTGGATATTATGTTTCCTATCCAGTCTCATTTGCTTTGCCTCTGAGACAAGTATTTTATGCTATGCAAATCATGAGTATACTTTCTCACTGAAGTAGCAGTCTGCTTCCTTGGCACAGGCTTAAGACTTACCAACAGCATGCCATCCTACCAAGATTTAGTGTTTGCAAAGGAGCATGTGAATAATGAAACAATATAATTGTGTCCTTATTATACTGCCAGTAGAGGACCTTTAAGAATAAAAGTTCCCCCGGCATTTGCTTTGACATTTACTCTGGGAAAATAATTTGCTTTGCTTTATAGCTTGCACTGAGGCTATTTTAAGTATTGCATTTTCTCTTTTTTTAACTATTAGGCATGCACTTTCTTCCCATAATCGAATTAGTTTTAAAGTTAAGCTTTGCATAGTTGAAATGGTAGTTTATTTTGACCTTACAGTTGTGCAGACAAAATTGAATAAGGCTTCATTTTCCAAAAGCCCTTTTAATAATAACTTTTAGCACTCTCTGTATTAACACTCCTGAGGGTAGAATGCTTCCTCTGAAACTGAAGCAACAAAGCCTGTCTCCTTTAGAAGCTGAAATGTAAAATGTAAGTCATGTCTTCCTGGAACTGTACAAAGTACATCTGGTATAGTACAGGCAGTCCCCGAGTTACAAACATCTGACTTACAAATGACTCATAGTTAAGAACGGGGTGAGACAACAGGAAGTGAGAGAAACCTACCTCCCAGAAGGGAAATTCACCCCTGAAAGAATTATCATGGAGAAAAGAGGTCTCCACTGAAGCTTTCGAAACAATCCTTGTTTCCAGAACAAGCCAACTTTTTCAAAATCCAATTATCACAGAGACAGAAAGTGAGGTGAAATCTTCTGAACAGGGGCAGAGCCAGCACAACAAAGACCATAGGTTGGACTGTTAACCCTTTCCTATGCTATCCAAAGCTAAAGCATACTTTTTTTTTACTGGAGTTACACTGTAAAATGTACCTGTTCTGACAAACAAATTCAACTTCAGAACAAACCTACAGAACCTATCTTGTTTGTAACTTGGGGACTTCCTGTATTCTGTGTTCATCAGTGAATAACCAAAGGCTTTCAGGGGGACTACAAATGAGACATGATGAACCAAAAAATCTCTCATTAGTTGTCCACCGCATGGAGTTTTGTTTTGCCTCTGTGGCCAAAAGCTCTTGATTGAACTGGTCTATGAACCAGTCCAGTATTAGTTAATGTGGTTGTGAAATAGAACTACTTTATTTAATATAACACAATATTTACATAATAGAATTTAATGTTAGCTGGTCTAAAACTTTCCACAGAAATTATTATATTTTCACAAAATGTTCTAAGAATTTAATATTTTAAGTTATATCATTTGAACATTAACATTGCAAACAGAGACATTTTCTTTTAGTCCAATGTATATTAACACAGAAATATTTGATCAACTCATAACAATCTGTAGTGTCAGAGGGAGCAGTGAATATGATTCTCCAAATGTGGATAGGGATTGTATAAAAGGCCTTAGAAGCTGGAAGTGTAAAACAAAAATTCTTGTGACAATGTAATGTAATGTGATGTGTAAAGTATGTCGTGCTTGTTTTTCTATGTTAGGTTCCACAGTTTGGCATCCCGACTGTAAGCAGTCCACAAAGGGAGAGGAAAAGCTACGGGTAAGTTGGTTTGTGTTTTCTTTTTAAAGTTAGAAAGGGGTAGGTTCCAAAGAAGAAACACTCCTGAGACTTTCCTTTAAATGACTTTTTTCCCTTTCAGAGAAACTGTAGGTGCTTATGACATTAAGGTTGGATTCTTGTTCTGCACATACTTTAGTAACCCCCACTAAATTCCTTGAAACCTGCTTCTGGGTAGGCGTGTGCAAGATTATGCTCCAAATGGCTTGCCGATTATGTAGGACAAACACACATGAGAGCATCACACATGCCCTAACTTCCACACAACAACCCAGTTAGAGTTATCAGGTTGAATATGGGATGGATGTCATATAGCATTAACCCTAGGAGTCCCTGGGGTAGAAAATGGTACCGGAAAGCTCTTTTCTCACCTCTCACAGTCATCTATTAGCAGCTTCAGCCTCCCTCCTCTCAGCACTGTAACCAAAGGAAAGTGGCCTGTTTGGAAGGTGAGCCTCCAGCTATGTCCCTGTAACTGGACACACAAAAGCTAATGTCACATTCTAGAGCAGACATGGCTAAATTTGGCCCTCCAGGTGTTTTGGACTTCAACTCCCACAATTCCTAACAGTCGGTAAGCTGGCTGGGGTTTCTGGGACTTGCAGTCCAAAACATTTGAAGGGCCAAAGTTTGCCCATGTCTGTTCTAGAGGGCAAATTACACTAAAGGAAATTGAGGGGTGAGGGAGGAGACCTGGCGTAATTTGCCTGACAAAACTTTACAGTGCCTCTTTCTGATCTAGAGTCTGTTAACAATTAAAATTGTAAGTGTTCTTCCCTTATTCAGTCTTCATATGCGCAATCCTGTAGGTCAGTGGTTCTCAACCTGTGAGGTCCCAGGTATTTTGGCCCACAACTCCCAGAAATCCCAGCCAGTTTACCAGCTGTTATGATTTCTGGGGAGTTAAAGGCCAAAACATCTGGGGACCCACAGGTTGAGAACCTTTGCTATGGGTGTTCCTGTGCAATTGCTGAGCAACATGCTAAAAGTGTAATTGGCTTAGGAGATGTCCACCACAACCACAGCTTCTCACCTAAGATTATCTTCCACACCTTTGCTAGAAAACTGATGGGCCACACCAAATACAGACAAGCAAAGAGGAAAGAAAAGAGCAAAATTTCGAAGTTACTGAATAAATTATTTTCAGTTACTAATCAGGAAAACTATATTGTTGAAGTTTTCATCAGAATGTGTCCAACTCTTTGCTATGTTGTAATCTTTCATATTTTTGTTAGTATAATCGGAATAGTTTGCTGCTTCTATTTACACACCAGAATTCCTGTCTGAAGATATTGGAATGATTCCTTTCATCTCAACTAAAAATTAATTGTATTCAGACATCTGTTCCATAAGTGGAAGGTCGCTTTCTGCTTCTGGAAGGGCCTTAAATTCAATAGAAACATACTCTACAGAAAGATAGGAGATGAATTTCACCAATTTCACCTTCTCCCTGTAGTTTTCAGTATTACTCTTCTTGATGTTGCAGTCCAGAGCATATTTTAAAAGATGGAAAGCTATAACAGGAAGAAGGTATCCACAAAATACATCTCCTTTCTGTCCTCCGTGAAATTCTACACTAGGAAAGTTTGGATAGAAACATTACTTGGACCATGTAACTGGATCTTGTACTATTTTCTGTTCTACATAGTTATGTGGCCGACTTCCTGATTATTTGTTTACATTTGCTTTTTATTTGGGTCTCCCCCTTTCTTTCTTCTATCTCTTAATAGACCAGACGATTTATAAGCTTAAGACACTCATGGCGTTCTGCTTAGTCTTTAAGATACCACAATACAGTGGTTCCCAACCTGTGGGTCCCCAGATGTTTTGGCCTTCAACTCCCAGAAATCCCAACAGCTAGTAAACTAGCTGGGATTTCTGGGAGTTGTATGCCAAAACACCTGGGGACCCACAGATTGAGAACCACTGCCATAATGTTTTATTTTCATTCCTGCAGCAATCTAATATGCTATGATTTCTCAGTAAGGATTATGTTAGTTGAAACAAAGCTCTACATGAAAATAGTATATGTGGCTCAAAATAAAATGCACCTGATTTGAAGTTATTTCTTTTTATGTGCCATAAAAAAGAGACATATAAGCAGTATGTAATCATATAAGGATGGGAATAGAACCACCAGAAATGATGATATTTCACTGAAACCATTCAGGCTTGGACAGCTTTTAATAGAGCACTAAATTCCACCCTATATCTTATTGCAAAGTTGACTTCCTGGAATATTGTAACATTAATAATACATTTGAAATGACTGTATATTGAATTCACATGTTAGTTGAACTGATGAATTGCTTTATTTTGGCAATGGTTAAAATGTATGTCTGTCAGCCTTATGTACCAATGTCATGGCTTCTGGCAGGCTAAGGAGCCTTTGATTATGTCACTACAGCAACAACAACACTGTCGCTGTGCTAAGAATCCTCCCGCTGATTCAAACTGACCTTTCAAAATCCTTTGGGGTAATTTCCAGTTTCTTAGGAAACACCAAGCACTCCTTCCAAGCATCCATTCCTTTTTCTTTCTTATGTGAGCAAATGCCATTTTCACAGCTTGACTGTGCCAATACATTGGTATCCAAAATATAAAGAATACTTCTCAGGAACCAGCTGTTATGGAAGGTACTTAACATTGCATAGGGTCAAAATTGGGTTCTTTTCCCTGCTCTTCTGAAAGCCAAAATGCACACAACCCAAACTGCTCTTTGTCAAAGCAGCTTGCGGAGTCATAATCATTTTTTGTCTTTTGCCTATGACTGGTTTTTTATTACACCCTCCTTAATTATGGAGCTTTCATTGGTGCAGATCTTAGGTGGAGTCCTTAAAAACAATGATTGCATAAGGTTTATTCTCTTTTGAATCTTTGTCACAGAAGGTGCCAAAAGAAACAGGAAATAAAGTAACTTGGCATGTAAGTGCCGATAATGTTTGCTTTTATGGTAACCTAGTGATTTTGCTATTGATAGGATGTGTTATTGGCATTAACCTTTTGCACTATTTCTTATCAAGTTGATTTTAAGAAAGTGGTCATCTTTGCTGTGAGGGAGGAACCTCTTTTTTCTATGTATGTAGGATAAACCTTTACATTTTTCACTTTCTTTTCTTTTCTATGTTTCATGGCAGCATTCCTCATCTGATTTCTTTTATCCAAAGAGTTTGGTTCTTCGCAGGCCACGCTCTTCAGAGGTTTGCAGTTGTGTCTTTGTCTTTCACTGACACTTCTATGGAAGAATCTTTGCACTCATGTTTGTAGCTGCTACTTTTACTACCACTTCCACCTCCCTTCAATTGCTTTTATTTTCACCTTGACACTATTTCCTTTTGCATCACACACTTGAATAGCTGTGCACAATATTCTCGTAGTTGCCTGTTTTGATTCCTAAAAATTGGGCACAAAAATAGTATGCCTGTGTTTGTTGTTGATGTATATGTTATGGGATTATAATGAACATAGGGTTGTTTGTGATCATGGAAATTGTATTTTACATGAGTCTAGTACAGTGGTTCTCAGCCTGTGGGTCCCCAGGTGTTTTGGCCCACAACTCCCAGAAATCCCAGCCAGTTTGTCAGCTGTTAGGATTTCTGGGAGTTGAAGGCCAAAACATCTGRGRACYACWCAGGYTGAGAACCACTGGTCTMGTACTTATTCTCATACTTAGGTTTCAAGAAAACAAAGTAGGCAGTTAGTTTAATAAAAGACAGRAATGGTTCCAAAAATTATCCCAGTTYGTTCATCTGTGCTTGGGAATATATTGCACTGCTRATATCCCTGTCCGATATTGCCAGAATCAAAACAATTCTTGTCTGTTGCTTTTTAGAAACACCCTAATTGCAAACATGGYGGCAAAACSCAACCTCAAAACACAAGACTTGATGGCTTGTATCCTATTGACAATCCCAGCTAACACAGATCAATTGAATCARTTGTTGAATTGTGATCCATTGATTCAATAAGGTTCCTTTAGTTGAGGTTACCAATAAGATCCATGCCCAGRTATTTCCTTATGTTCTTCTTTGCTTCTTTATTCCCTGGAAGAAGGGTACAAAACCTGTACCACTTCTCTGTCTCTGATAAAAAATTCACATGATTGCAATATCCAAATAATAACTGTTGGAATTCATTGGTGCACAGATAGTACTATTCAGTGTCTTTGTGGCTGTGCATTTCTCTAGTGCAAACACAAAGTGGGATTGCACTTGCAGTTTTGTAACGTGTTTATTTGGTGTTACTCCCTGTAGATATTTAACTGTTCCTGAAATTGTTGCCTACTGTACACTCCCCAAAACAGCTAAAAGCAGACTGGGTTTTGTTGCTTAGCTTAACAAAGCAACAACCAAATACTTATTTAAAAACACTCATTGGAAAATGTATGCACTCTCATTGCCAATAAATCAATTCATTAATATAAATTTAAAACAATGAGTACATGCAAGCGCATTCAAACTTCATAAAGGAATCCTCAAAATGAAGGGTAAATTTGTGGTGTTTTCTTTTTTTTTAAGTTTGCTGTGTGTTACAAGCTTAAACATGTTGTTTTTAAGAAAGGTCCTTAGCACAAGTTGTTTGACTAGCTTTGCAACCTTCCCAATTGAGTCTCTCAAGAAATTCATAACATGATGACATGTAGTACATTAACATTTTCATGTCACTGAATCTTCACGCAGGAGAAAATATCACTGGTTAAATTCATGCAAATGTTAAGAAAATGTATTCAGACAGAGGGATTTTGGGGGGGAGGGAGTTGACAGAAGTGTTGGAATATTGGCTCTTTCAAAATAATATCGTATTTCTGTGAATTTTCTTAGTGTTTCAAATTAAGCACATATCAACAGCATTGTTCAATAATCTGTGTTTAATATTTTGTGTTCATCCATTTTCTTTAGGACACTTCCTTCTGTCCAAGGTGGTTATTCCCTTTCATGGGATTATTTTTTTGAGAAGGGAGGAAATGAAACAAAAGAATCCATAGGCTTTAGATAACTACAAATGTGTGAGGAAAAACTTAAGAACCAGGAAAAACAAGTGAGACTAATTGAGAAGTATAGCACACACTCTGAGGGCTTGTTTTGAAAATTTGAAAATCGGCGTTAAGACTTAGCATAATAATAATAATAATAATAATAATAATAATAATAATAATAGCATATATGACAATAATATAGTCTGTACCACTCCCAGCAGACATTGCCTTCATCTGTTGACCCCACTCTTCCAACTTGCTTCCATTTGAGATGTAAAGTCGAAATTTGCAAGTGTGTAGCTAGGTAACGTTGCTCCATGCAGTCATGCTGGTCACATGATCTTGGAGGTGTGTATGGACAACACCAGCTCTTCAGCATAGAAATGGAGATGAGCACCAATCCCTAGAGTTGGACACGACTAAACTTAATGTCAGGGGAAATCTTTACCTTTACTTAGCTATGTATTACAGTAATTAGAAAGACCAATTATGTTTGCATAGGTTCTTTTGTGGATTCCTTAGCCTAGTGTTGGGAATTGATGGTGAAGTTAGCCATTTCTATTGGTTCCGTAGATCTTTGGACCAATTCCTTAACAAATGTACATATTTAGGAAACCATTACATGGATTAAGAGATCACTGATGTTGAATAAAGTGCCTCAGTTGTACAAAATATGAAGCCATGGTTTGATGTTTCATACTGTAGCAGTTCTTGGACCCCTCCTCAGCTCAGCTGTGAAGTGGTGTCTGTACACAGAAATTCTCTTTAATATTAGCAGCTTTCTGTAACATCAGAACCTCTACAAAGACTTGTCACTCTTAATGAAGTTTGTCTAAACAAGCTTAATGTATGCATTATGAAACTGTCTTGTTCTGAGGAAACTTTAGGGTTCAGATGAAATATTTTGTTCAGCATTATGCATGAGCTGTGACTATGTATGTGAAATAATTCCCATAAACATTGAAAAGTAATTATGAATTGAACTTGCATTTTGATGCATTTTGTAGTTCTTCCTCTAAAGAACTATTATTGTGGATGGTTTCTAGCAATATTAAATGACTGTAGAATATCTGTAATCCAAACACAAACTGTTCCTTCTTCTCCAGCTGTTTTCACCACCTTGTATATTGAACTCCATCAAAAAACTAAGGCAGGTACTGTAAGCAGCACTGGGACAATGTCCTTTTTACCTTATACTAGTGCATCCAGTTGGCTTGATGTTCAAGAGATTGTTTCAGAGATGTGCCTCATAGAGCATGACTTGAACATCTGTAATGTAGAGTGGGCAGCCATCACATCATGGTGTTGGAAAGATGTGAATGGTGCCAGTGCTTTTAGAAGTTAACTGTCTAAACTATGTGCAATGCATGGCAAAACTATTGTCAAATGGAAGGAACCGATTTAGCAAAACATGCATCGGTTCAATGTAAATTGTGAAGGAAATAGGTTTTGTTGGAAAGTATACTATATCTACAACATACACAGACTACATCATATGTCAAAGGACTTGGGGCACTTTGGCATTGAGGTTAAAGGACTGCAGAGGAAACTAAAGTGGTAGAACATAAAATAGCAATAGATATATTTAGAGGTAAGCCATCAGCATGCAGACAGTAATGTTGTAGCTATTCTTTTGAGGTTAAATAACTTTTGCTGAGGGAACCAGTATGAGCACAACTCTATCTTTCATATAGCAGTAAGCTTAGAATAAAGATGTGGTGCACTATGTTCAGTTTGCATATCCTCTGTTATTTTAACTTAATCATCAGCTTTAAAGATCAGACTCCCATAGACATTATCATAGCCATTGCAGGAAGAAAGGTTTTTTTTTTTTCCGTGTCAGGAGCGACTTGAGAAACTGCAAGTCGCTTCTGGTGTGAGAGAATTGGCTCACACCAGAAGCCTGTAAGGACGTTGCCCAGGGGATGCACGGATGTTTTTGATGTTTTACCATCCTTGTGGGAGGCTTCTCTCATGTGGAGCTGGAGCTGATAGAGGGAGCTCATCTACGCTCTCCCAGAATTTGAGCCTGCGACCTGTCATTCTTCAGTCCTACCGGAACAGGGGTTTAACCCACTATGCCACCGGGGTTGAAGATAAACTATTTAATGCTAGGTTTCTGGTCCTGATTGACTGTAGGTTTCCGGCCCTGGTGGGCAATATTGGCAAGTTTGTGGGCCACTTTCACTTCAGGACCTCAAGAGACTACACCTCTTGCTGCTCTACTGATTTCCAGTAGAAATTGTTGTTGCTGTGTCTTGGCAGCAAACTAAAAAAACATACCATTAAAACAAGTGGAAAATGTTTTGTCCAAATACCTTCTACCAGTTTACTATTGAGCTGCAAATCACATCATGAAATCCTTTCTCAACTGAGCATTGCAGCTTGGGGCTATGCAAACATTCTTGGGCACTGCCTGTTGTCCATGTGTTGCCCAGACCTGTTCCGGAATACGGAGGTTTAAAGGCATAATTGCATCTTTTTTTCTAATAGTTATTTTGAGTTTTAGGTGGTATTAAATCCTTTTCACAGCTGCTGTGGCATAAATTTTGCAAAGGTTGAGGTGTTTATCTCTTGGATGACATTTGGTCTAGAAACTAGGACTAGGATGTGCCAATCATATGTGAATTTACCAGGCCGAAGGTTTCCTTGAATTCAATGTGGTTGTTGCTTCTCTAGTAAGCACTTTTTTCATTTCAGAAGTTTCTTGAGAAATTCTTCTGGCATGAGAGAATTGGCCATCTGCAAGGATGTTGCCTAGGGGACTCCCGGATGTTTTACAATCCTGTGGTAGGCTTCTCTCATGTCTCCGCTGGGGAAGCTGGAGCCGACAGACAGGAGCTCACCCCTTCTTGTGGATTCCAACCGTTGACCTTCAGGTCAACAGTTCAAGGGTTTAACCCATAGCGCCACCATAGCTCTATTAGTAAGCAGTTACAGTAGTGTTCTTTAAGCTATCTGATATGTTCCCCTCACAATGTGCCATGGAACAGTATTATATCTATCCATCTACAATGGTTTCTTTCTTTCCTGAAAGCTCTCTGGAGACCTGCAGCAGATGGCTTAAGAACAATGGTCCATGGACAACCATAATCTTGATTTAGAAAGAGATGTATCAGTGTCTTCATAACAAACAAAGCAATAATTCACACACATCCATTATTTCCCAGAAATTACAGCATATCTTTCAAAATGTAGACCAGCAGTCTTTGAAGGAAGACACAA